ATAGACTATGCCTTACATTAATGCACACAATGTACAACAATATGTTGTATTACACAGCTGATTTGTATTCCATATTGTATTCCTCTATTCCATTCCATTCCATTGCAATGTAAATACTGTTATATTTTACAATATATTTTGTATTATTTTAAATATTTTTTCTAGTTCTCTACCTGTGTTTTTAATTTTTGTTTTTATGCACCAGGACACCAAGTCAAATTCCTCATACGTGTAAACCTACCTGGTAATAAACCTGTTTCTGATTGGTTGTATAATCGTAAAATCTACAGTTTGTGTTACACTTACAGCCTGAGGGGCTCGATGGTGATGGGGAGGGAGTTCCTGGTGGGCCCCGCCTCCGAGAGGAAGTCAGGGGGAGACTCAAACAGCAGGGAGTGGGCCCTCTGGGACCCCTCAGGGTGGGGCTGAGACAGGCCGGGGCTGTTCAGCGCTCTCTGGATCAGGATGTGCAGGGGGATGGCTGGAGGCTGGCTGGGGGGCTTCGTGGTGGGGCTGGGGGGGTCAGTCTGCACCGTGGGAACGGTGAGGGGGGGTGCTGAAGGGAATGAACCCTGGGGGGGGATGGAGGGATGTGGGAGGGCGGGAAAGGCAGCGTTTCAGAGTGGCTGAGGGGAGTGTTTGAGACCTCCTCTGTGTGTTCTCCTCTATGGACAGCAGGGGGCGGTGGTGCAGAGGCTGGTTCAGCGACGGGGGGAGAGGGGTCCTTATCGGGGGCCGAGGGGTCCGCAGAATGGCGCTTTGTGACGGGGGTCATCCTCTTTGGCGGCGTCGGGGGCGAGCGCTTAGCGGGGGCTGGCATTGTGATGAAAGCACTGCCAGGTTGCGAGTGCTCGGCTGGTAGAAGAAAGAAAAACAGCAGGAATTAATACAAGTTAGAAAGAATAATTCACATTAAATATAATGTACAGGCAGAGCATGAGGATGCACGTCGGTCTGGATTGAAATGAAGTTAGTGCCATGAACAAAAACAAGCAAATTGCCAATATCTATAGATTAAATGGGGGAGAAAAGATAACGTTAGTGTTACTGGTGATCTGGAGTCAGTGGAGGGTGATAACATCCATTGGTTGAACATCCATTGTTATCAACAAACACATTCAATGCACAGCAGCACATCTAGACTTCCATGCATTGTTTCTTTCCGCATGGAGAGTTAAGTTGGTTAAGATGAAAGTGAACTGTGTAAAAGGGTTATGTAGGTAGAGACAGAAATAACGTAGGCCAGGGAGTTGGTAATATTCTGAGAAATAAATATGAGATTCCAAGATTGAACTTCAGAGAAATTATAAAAAAACTGTGAAGAAAAAATAAATAAACGCTTAAAATAAAGAGATAGGAATCACACAATTTCGCTAAAGAAAGTCAAATATTCTCTGATGTAAAAAAGTTAAATAAATTAAATTTCTTTCTGAGTTTGAAGTAAAACATTTAAAAGGAAAAACAGGGGAAAACAGTGTTCTTTTTAAATGTAATATTTGTATTATAATATTAATAAAAAGACAATATTTCGAAATGTGTGTGTGTGTTTTACTTAAATCTCATCAAATGTTTTTCTCCTACATTTTGAGTTTTAAGTGTGAGATTTGTGTTTCTGTTCTCCTCAAAAGCACCACTGAAACTCAGAGAATACAAGGGTATACATCTTTAAATCTTGGAAATCCTGATTCTTTTCTCAGAATATAACCCCCTCCCTCCGCTCTGTATCTTTCATTCTCTTCCCCTACATTGGCCCCATTACATCTCTATTGTAAACAACTCCTGTAGCTGCAGAACACATGCAATGGCGATCACATGAGGGGAGGTTTGACATGTGCAATGAGGCGTTGGATCCAGTCTGCAGACTCTGTTAGGATGCATGGAGGGGCGCCCCCCCGCTGGGTACCTGAGCAGGTGTGAGCCCCTCTGTGTCTCAGGTAGACGGGCAGCGAGAGGTAGAGGCTGCTCCAGGATCTGCAGGAGGGCTCAGCCTGGCAGACTGTGCTCAGGGACGAGGCTGCACACAACCAGCGAGAGGCAGGGAGAGAGCCAGGTTTACATTCCA